AAATCAACATTTATTTACGAATATATATATATATATATATATATATATATATATATATATATATATACCCGGTTTATAATCCCATGGTGTCAGACAAATATTAATTCTAAACTGCATAACTTTTAAAATGAGAAAAATAATGTTCTAGCTATCGATTATTCAACTAAATTTCCTACCATTGAAAAACAGTAGTGAAACTTATTGACACATATTGTCTGTAAATTGTCAACCACAAAAATACAAAATTCTATGATTAAATCCATATTTACCTACTTTCAGAAACAAATTTAATTTCTAAGTTAAACTACTATGAATATGCTTTACATTAAAATTAAACTAGATTTAAGGCATAATTCAGTTTAAAAATCCATTTAAAATTATAAAACAAGTAAAATACTTTACTGCGTAAACATCTTTGATAGTATTCAGTTGTTTTTTAATGTTGCATACTCATTGCTTACGTAGATTTAAATACCTTTGACTAAATGTTTCACAAATCATGATCAGGTTCTGAAAGTTCAATGTTGTCTAATTTTCATGTAGTAACAACCGAATATTTGAGAAATACTGGATTTTACTTATTTCAAATACGATCTTACCAGTTGATTAGTATCGATTTTGTTATTATTTTTAATCACATAACAAATTCCTGTGACGAAAAACATGTTCAGAAAAAATGTTGCTCTATTTTGATCATATCTTCCTATTTGTCTAAATGAGAAACTCTGAATCTCGAATTGTTTACATCATTCATGTATATCAATAAACAAAATCAACAAAAAGATGAAATATTCAGGCAGATAGATTGAAGACTCACTAGACAATAACAGATAAGCTTATTTGCATATAGATACCGAAAAAAACTAAAACATTGAATTAATTAGTCAATTTGTTGTTTAAAGCTTTAAAATAATACAGTTTCTGATAAACAATTCATACTATGTAATTATAACAATTTTTTCTGAAAATTACATGTTAACCGATCTGATGAACAATTTATAGGCTCTAGTCATAACTATATTTTCCAGAAAATTGCATGTCGATCGATTACAAAAACCACCAGTTATTTATGTCACTGAATAGTTTACGATTATTATATGACTATTCATTTGTAAACACTTTTTTTGATAAACTGATTGATACTGAAATGTCAGTCTATAAATCTAAAGTTTAACAGCCATTCGTTCGATTTGAAGAGAGATGACTATGTAACAAAATCCTTAACCCATCTTTTGATTTTTTTCGTAATACTAAATTTACTTTCATGTGGTTCCCACTTCATGAAATAAGATATTACTTAAAACTATTTTCTAACAGTAAGTTTACAATTTTTTAAACACTTTCATACCATTAGTTCTGGTTTCCTTGGGGTACCGTTCTCGTCACGGGATATGAAGTTCATCCACTCAGATTTTATCGGTAATATTAGTCTGAGCTAATCGTTATCATAATTTGTGTAGATTATTATCAGAAGATTGTGTATGAAATACTTCAATTTTCGAAATCATGTTAGCTACATCAACATTATAAAATTTGTGTCTTCATCATCGTCTGGTTAGAATAATGTGTAACATTTCTTCAAACTAGTTTATCACTTATCTCCTGTCACATAAGATTCTAATTATAAAACAGAATGTCAATGATTTCGAAAAGTCATTTGAGTTCGACATTCATTGAAAACTATAAAACACTGGAATCGTTGGTTCTTTCATGTATTCTATTCTTTAGAGAGGGGGATGCCCAAATCAGACCGACTAGTGATATCAATAACATTCAATAATTTCCACAAATCTCTACTGATAAAACAGTCTCAAAAAGCGTACATTATTAATGGTTTCTTTGTTTTGCTTATCTCCATTTAAGTATTGTTTGTTATATTTCATGACGATCAGCGAATTCAACAATAATATTTGCAATTTCCCTTAAAAATAATATTGAATTTCTTACTTATCGGCACCGATTTAATTCACTTTGTTTTTACCATTTGTAGTAAAACTAGTCTGTTATTTTGATTCTTTTTCTTCATTCACTAACTAGTTTCTTTGTTAATCAAAAAACAATAATTAAATTAATTTGCTATCATAACATTAATCATGTACTTTAAATGTCTTTTACTATTATTATTTTAAACAATACTGTCAAATCAAATTGTGATTATTTTTCTAACAAAGTAATACACTGAGTAGATAAATCTCTTTAGCTGATAAATATCCTCAATAATTTAGTAAAGGCGTATATGTGTGTTTATAATCATTTTTTAGTTGATTTTTTCACTCGGTTGAAACTTACTACTGTTACGTTCAAATTATCTTATAGAGGAATGCCTTGATTCACCGTTACGTTGACAATTTCACGGTATAATCGACTTTGGTTCCTGTAAACCAGTTTAAATATTAAGCAAAGATGGATAGTGGCTAGCAGTGGAATCCAGGACGCGCGTTTCTTCCTATTTGGGACTCGTCAGCTGGATGTACCTGCATCTCAGAGTTGATGTTCACTCTGGGACTCGAACCCAGTACCCTCGCTTTAAACGCCATCGCGTTATCCACTCGGCCACTGAGTCCTGATAGCCACTTGCTTGTGCGATGGGGTGAAGTTTAAATTCATTCAGTATTGTTTGTTTGAATCTTCCCGTCGATGTGTTGGGACTGCAACTGGTCAGTCTTTAATTGGCTTATGTGCATACTGTGCGTATTGCCTCGATATAGCCTTGATTCAAAAGCATGATAAGCAAGGATGGATAGTTGCTAGCAGTGACCGAGTGGATAACGCGATGGCGTTTGAAGTGAGTGTACTGGGTTTGAGTCCCAGAGTGAACATCAACTCTGAGATGCAGGTACATCCAGCTGACGAGTCCCAAATAGGACGAGACGCGCGTCCTGGATTCCACTGCTAGCCACTATCCATCTTTGCTTATCATGCTTGTGAATCAAGGCTATATCGAGGCAATACGCACAGTATGCACATATGCCAATTAGAGATCGACCAGTTGCAGTACTAACACATTGATGGGAAGATTCAAACAAACAATACTAAGTGAATTCAGTTTAAATATTGCTGAAGCTTTCCCTTCTCTCACTCCTTTTTCCAAGTCGGAGTTGTGCGTTCCAAAAATTTCCGACTTAGAATGAAATAATTGTCCGTTCGCGTTTGATTTTCTATAGTTCTCTAGCGTGCATTCGTTCCAAATTAAACATATCTTCAAAGAGTAGCTTCAGTTATTAAATAAGATTAGTTTTCTTGCATGTTTCATTGATTTTGCAGTTTTCTAGTGCTTGGTTGTGTTCATGTTATATTTGATGAGATTGATGAACAAAGCCCATACCTCCAATTACGTCCGTTGTGTCCCAGTGTAATTTTTGTACATCACTCTCAACCCATTTTAATTGACATTATTAAGTTTGAAATGTGTCCCATCTTTAACAGTCTCTTAGTATTATTACCGTCAGGTATTATTACATTACTTATGTTATCCATTTATTTACCTTAAATATGAACATACTTTGAAGTTAGATGTCGAAAGTTAACTTTTATACCAAATGTTTCAACACGATACAATGTATAAGTTATTTGTATGCGCAAGAGAGCTGTGATAAGCTACAAATAATTTTGTACCTTTTTTCCTCATAAAAAGATAAACCGATTTTCAGTGAATAACGTTTCATTTATACTTAATTAATAATTCCTTTAGTAATTCAAATAACGGTTTGCTAGAACATTAAACTGTTTTAGTTATAATTAACCTAATCACTTGTGGAGTAAACTTTATTTTTGACTTAACCCTCAATTTTTATTTGTTATATTTAGCCTCACAATTTATTGTATCTTTTGTTGGACACTCAAAAGGTGTATAGGACACTTTCCAAGATTTATCTGTATAAAAAACATGTTATCATTGTTTCTGTTCAAGTAAATAATTATGGAAGGTAAACTTTGAATTGAACAGATGTTTTTTAGAAGCTGTACATTTTGTACTCTCATCTCTATGAACGCTCAGACCATAGTTATGTAGAGTTTAAAACTGTATTCATAAAAAGTGCATTCTACTTGTCATGGTTACAATCATCGGTTTTTCGAATGCCTGTTTTCACTCTGTTAACTCCCAACTTCAAACTAATGCAGATAAACGCAACCAGAATTCGAAAGTTTTCAAGACCATGTTATATATCGGTTTAATACGTTTCAAACAATCTAACCACCCGTTTACTTGTTATGACAGTCAATTATGAAAAATTAATGTCAACGTAGACAAATTGGAATATAAGAAAAGTAATGATAATAATTGACAAACAATATGAATTGTATCACTCTGAACAAAAAAATCAATACTGCCAAAGTAGGTTTACTGTAAGTACAAATTACTTTTGAAGACACGGACGGAGTGCAAGAATATGAACTTCACAAAATTAACCCTAAATTAGCCTTTATAGCTTTGCATACAATACTTTGGTTTGTTGAAGCCGTTAGTAAACGAAAGTTGAAATGCTCCTCCTTTTTATCCAAAAGCAATTTTTTTTACTCTAAATCCATCCAGGTAATATCAATTTAATATCTAGGGTTGTACTGTTCTTCTTTTCCTTACATCCACTATCCTTATCCTCGAATTTGTCTAAATAACCTTTATCATTTCATATATATAAATCCTGTTGTAATTAAATCCGTGATCTAATTGTTCAAAGTGTATTGTGCTAAATATATCACATAGTTCTGATAAACGTCGTCCTTTCAATTGATTGTCTAAATTTATCAAAGTGATTGTTTAGAATAAAATTGCGATTAATTTATTTCTCTACCACGCAATATACCTTATTTCGTTGACCACAAATATACATCACTGCTTTTTGTTATCAAATATTCAATAATTTATTTCAGCACAAGCAAATAACTATTGATCATTCAATATTGTAAATAAATTTGTTCAAATTTCTAAGTCAATGAGTTGTTATTGTTTTCATCTTGACAATCCGTTGTGTTACGTCTACTTTTCTTTTCTTTTTCAGGTTCTTCTTGATGTGTTATGGTTTTGTAAATTTGGCTACAATGTTGAATGGATTCTTGAAAGAGCCCAGTTGGCGTCCACGATTTCGATTCTACCACTGGTATGTATAAATGAGTTTTTTTCTTTCGTAGTATTAACCTCTCCACTTTACTATTACCACTATATCCCTTTATAATACTATATATGAGCCGTACAAATGTCAGTGTAATAAGTAACCCTTATATGTTATTAGTTATTTAGTTTATAGTTTATATTATGAGATTCGATGTTTCTATTCTAGTAACAATTTTAAGGTTTTGTTGCTTGAAGCAATTGAGAAACCGTTTGTTTTGTAATAAATTGCTTATTTAGCCATTTAAACAGGTGAATACTAATGGTAGTTACATAACAATTAAATTTTGATTAAGAAAAGACTTTTGTACGAATTTATCATGGGAACAGGTTGTATAAATACGCAGAAAATTCATGTTGGCAAGATAGATAAATTACAAATCACACTAGCTTTTTAGATAAAATGTTAAACGTAGGGTTGGGTTACACCAGTAGCGAAGAAAATGAAAACACTGAATGAAAATATTCAATAAGATAGATTTATGTGATGTCCTTTGTATGCGATAGACGTATAAGTAAATCACCGTACAATAAATCCCTTTGACGCTTTATTTGGGCAAAGTCAATCTCAATTGTTTATTCTAAACTCCTTCATTATCCTTTCATTTTACCCACCCAGCTATACAGGATGGTGCTCAAACCTTTTTCACTCATTTTAACCAGATTTACATAGGTTTTTGAATAAGTGGTCATACATATCGCTTGTCTGTCTTCACCTCTATCGGGTGGAAGTTGATAATTGTTAGATTAGGTGTACAATTCAGTTCCGATACGTATTCTTTACTGGGCTCTTCACGGGCATTTTCATATCTCACTTCTGTTCCCACCTCTGGGTCTACATCTCTAGAAAATTAGTTTTTCTGAAATTGTTCCCATTCAAAATCTTGTCTTTGCTTCGTCCATATACTTCTCATTTCTATCATATACGTTACTGATATCCATCAGAGGATTATTTTTCAGTATAAATCGGTTAAACTCTTCACTAAAAATCACTTACTATTCAAAAACAAAGAAATGCAGATGAACTATAGGGTTTTTATTAGGATATCCTCCTTGTTAGCAATCATTACTGATATATATATCAAATCCTTGAGAAGAAATTTGTATAAATTAGTGTTCTGATCTGATTGGCAAGTTTGAGATATCTGGAAAACATCTTATTCTTAGTAAATTAAGATTGAGTTCACAAATCAATGATTTAAGTCAATGAATTTTTCCTAATCTATTTATAAAACCTGTCCAATATCCTATTTTTCTTGATTTACAAAAATAGGAACATACACAACCATACAATGTGTGACTTTAAAACAAAAGAATATATATATATAATGAAATTCTGTATGATTAATTTGTTTTCTTATTTACTGACATACTTACTATATGTCAACTATAATTAAATCTTTGCATTCACTCATACTAATTTTAACTAATTTTTATTAAAAGTGATAGTTTAAAAGCAAACTTATTCTTGTAGGAAAAGATTTAAGTTTCTTTTTTTTTCTTGATGGGAAATTCTAAAAACAAATTAAATAACCATCTAAGAAAAATGAAAGTAATTAGAACAACAAAATGATGAATAAGAGCAAATAAATACTCAATGTTAATTAGTTTTTGGATATCTCAATAAACTATTTTCAATCCTTTTAATGCATTATTATGTAACTAAATGTTTCAATTCATTTGTTCATTAATATTTTTGACAATCAAAATTATACCATCCACCTTCATGTTTTAATTACTCTGGTAATCATTCGCTATTATTTTCATAAATTACTTTTCGACTTGTATTATAGTTATCTAACATATTCCCACTTCATTGGTATCGACTTTACCATTATTGTTAATATACACCTATAAAGCCAAAATAGAAAACTAACTGAATAAAGCGCTCTTTTCTCTCTATTAATCTTTTCCTGATATCTTAATAAAGGATTCTACTTTATTGAAATGATAAGATAAGATTACCTGTACTAATTATCTGTGTGTGCAAAGTGAATTTAGATAAATAGGTCTTACTACTTAATGGTCTGATTTTTATTGTTACTTTGTTTCTGTGAAATACGTTTAATGAAGCTTTAATTAACTGATCTAACTAGTACCTCATTATTAACATGAGTGTCTATAGGATGACAGAACAACAAGATCACTTAAACTGTGAAAGAAAGTAAACTGTTTGGATTCTAATTTAGTGCTTTATTAATTGATAGATGCAATAACAAAGTTTAGGTACTCTATAAATGTTCACATTACTTACGATTGTTAAATTAAACTCCAACAACTCTATTGCCTTTCTAAGTATTAGATGGCTTTTGATACCCTTCTATTTAAGATTTTAATTTATTAGTAATATTGGACCATACTTCATTCTTTCATTTATCTCTTCACATGTTTCGACAGTGGTAAATCAACCATTAGTCTAGTAATTATATGTTCACATTGTTTAATTTTCTTCTCGATGACTTGCATTACAATGTATTGTTAAGTATCGTATTCTGTTATGGATTTTCTTTCACTATTAAGTACCTGAGTTTTAACACTACACGTAATTTTAATTACAAAATGACTAAACATGATTTATAGTTAAAAAAGGTGGATACACTGATCAATGATCGGTCAATTCCTAAATAATGAAACATAATCATCTTCATACATTGATTATACATACAAAGAATGCCATGTGACATAGGTTACTGAATAGTAATAATGTTGAGCAAAATACGGTTCATTTAAGCGATTATCTGAAATTATAGAAAATAGATAATATTTTCAAAAGGCAGTATTAGTTCATAGACAAAAAAAGTTAACTTTTTTCGGTATTGATGGTAATATATGTAGCTTATCAAGTAAATGTACTTAGTTGTTTCTCGTTAGTATTTCTGTTATAGATGACTGTTTACGATTCTAAAAAATATTGGTTAGTATTCCAGATGAAATCTCTTATATTTGTGTATATTTTTCCACTCTTAGACTCAAACTGATCATATATACTTGTACGTTTAGACCCGTATTCTTGTTAATGCGAAAAAACTACTATTTATTGCTAAATGTATCTCACTTACTATATCCATCATAGAACACTAAATACAAGGCTAAATATGTTTTGTAGGTGAGATTATAATTTAGAAACGACCTTTAAGACCTTGAGAAAATTCACCGACTTTTTAGCGTCAAAAGTAGGTGATAAATTAGTGTGACGAAGTAGGGTTAAGATTAACAGTTAGATTATTAGGGTGAGGAATCAAAGTAAGAGTTTTTATCACGAACTGACGTCAGCTATGATGCCAAAATACTATTTAGCCATGTGAATGAATAAATTTTGCGCAAAACTTTAAGACTCGCTATCTGAAGTCCGATTCCTTCGCCCTGATATTATAATTTCGCCGTTTAAAATTCAAGGGCATGCATGAGGCATCAAAAGTTATAGTTGGATTAAAATATACTAATGGTAATAATTTGTGGTCAGAAGTTTAAAATAGTTTACTATTTATATTCTATGAAATATGAGGCTAGTGTGACTAAGTCGTCCATCTCTTTTGCGCACTCTTTTACACTTGAACTTATTTAAAATTGCTCCATTACCAATATGCCATCTAAATTGATGATTATCTTACTATTAAGACATTTTACAAGGAACGTCATAGTAGTTTGTTCTTTCCTGGTAAGTACGCTGTGACAACTATTTTACCTTGGCCTTTTTATTATTCATATTTTTATAAGGAATATGTTTACGTTTTTTTATCGTTTGTTTTTATTAGCTTTGTGTATGTCTACATGCAAATATATGCGTGCATAAAATAATATCTAATTACTATTCAATTAGTCTTTTATAAATGTATATAATTATTCCTTTTCGTCATATTATATTTCTATACGTCTGTTTTTGTTACGTATATGCAAAACTAAATGTAGAAAACTTATGAAAAGAAAGTGATTTAAAAGTACTATTCTATATGTGAAGCTGAATCACTCACAAGTTATAAAGGGTTAATCTAGTATTTCAAGGGACCAGGATTAGTACGATGTGTACTAAGTGTTGATTATAATATTGTTATTTTTTTATTAAACGTCTTTGGAGATTATTTCATAAATTTATAGGGGTTCTTTTTACATAGATTGTTCATGATTGAGAACAACTATTAGAAACTATTTTATTTTCATGGTATTTATTGATTATACATTAGTTACCTACTTCCTTACGCCTGTTACCCCTCGTCGAGGAGCATAGGCCGCTCACCAGCATTCTCCATCCAACTCTGTCCTGAGCCTTCCTTTCCAGTTGCTATTCAGCCTTTTTATATCGGCTTCTATTCCCCGGCGCAGTGTGTTCTTTGGCCTTCCTCTTTTCCGCTTCCCTTCCGGATTCCAAGTTAGGGATTGAGTCGTGATGCACATTGGTGATTTCCTCAATGTATGTCCAATTCACTTCCAACGTCTTTTCCTAATTTCCTCTTCAGCTGGAAGCTGGTTTGTCCTCTCCCATAAAACGCTGTTGCTGATAGTATCCGGCCGGTGGATGTTGAGTATTTTGCGTAGACAACTGTTTATAAATACTTGTACCTTCCTGATGATGGCCGTAGTAGTTCTCCACGTTTCAGCTCCATACAGTAGGACTGTCTTGACGTTCGTATTAAAGATTCTGACCTTGAAATTGGTTGAGAGTTGTTTTGAGTTCCATATGTTCTTCAATTGTAGAAATGCTGACCTTGCTTTGCCAATCCTCGTCTTTACATCTGCATCCGATCCTCCTTGTTTATCAACGATGCTCCCTAGGTACTTGAATGTTTCCACCTCTTCCAGAGTTTCGCCATCAAGTGTGATTGGGTTGTTGTTCTCCATGTTGCATTTGAAAATCTTGCTTTTTCCTTTGTGAATGTGGAGGCCTATCGATGCGGAGGCTGCTGCTACATTTGCTGTCTTCATCTGCATTTGTTCGTGTGTATACATTAGTTACTTAGTTTAAAATCGAATTTAAATTGTTCACCCAATAGATAAATCTCTAAATTATAATACCGAATTCGAATTCTATGTTTATGACGCAAGAAAAACACTGTCATGGTTCACACTTGTGTACGTATTGACCCACAAAAGTTAAGCTGTTGAATAAATGGTTATGGGGATAATATAACTTAGTAGCACACATAAATATCAATTCGTAACCTCATTTTAAGTCAAAAATGAGCACTGTTTATTCACATTGCCTTTCATTTTATTTATTATAATTGGTAATCAGTTATCTCCATATACCTGACCTATAACTGTCACTCATAGTATAATGCTTTTTCCCCGGGATAAATACTCTGTTAACAACTTAGATACAACGGAACCTTATATCTAATATTTGAACAATGTGTACCGTTTTTAAGTGATAATTTTATGATGTAATCGGTTGAAATATTAGAGAAAAATCGAGAAAACATGTTGCGCGTGTTTTGTTGGAGTTTGATTGTTCAAACCATAAGAATACTTCGATTCAATGTTCTCAACACGCATCGGGATTCCTTGTCGACCTATTTGATAACATGAAGATATCCATCATAACTCTATTAATTCTCTTGACTGACTGGTTAATGAGTGGTTTATTAAACTGATGTATTTAATTTCCAGTGTTGAAGACTTTCGTAATTTAATTCAATTTTTTGTTGCAACTATGTGAACATATTCTTGGAGTATTGACTATTCTCTAATTAAATACTTGATTTTTTAGTTATTTTACGTATTGTCATTGAATAGTTTATCTATCAACTTCTAAACGTCAATATGAAATGAAGTTTATAAATCACGTAACATTTTTAAAAGAGATAGATGATGGCAAGCGGTAGAACTAAAGACGCATGTTTATTCCTATTAAGGATTGATCAACTGGAAATGCTTGTATCCCAAAGTTGATATCCACTCTGGAGCTTGAACCCAGTACCTAAGTAGATAAAGCGTTAAGTGTTTGAAGAGAACGGTACTAGATTCAAGTCCCGGGGTAGAAATCAACTCTAGGATTCAGATACATCCATTTAACGAGTCCAAATTTGTAAGGAATGTGCTTTCTGTATTGCACTGTTAGCCACCATATATCCGTTCTTGAATTGTTTGTGACTTGATAACATCATCGAGGGAACCGGTACAATATGCTAAATACCAAAAGAGACTGAAAAATTGCACTCTTCAACATCAACAACGGGAATATTCAAAAACCCACCATAAACATTGTGATATTTTAATTCAATTCATTTTTACTTTTTATTTTTGCATTATTCATTTTAATGAAAATGAAAAAACAGGAAATATGTCATATATATATTTGGAAAGAATCAGAATTCAGGAAACATGTAGGTTGGTTTATAAACAACAACACGCTAATCAACAATGATTATTATTTGTCACTTTAACCCTACTTCATTGGTTAAAGGAATCATGAGAATAACGGAAATTAATAGTTGCGGTCACTGAGCTATATGCCTTTAAATCCATCATTTATTGTGTGTACACAGATGAATGCATTTATCGTTTTATCAAAGTAAATCATTCAACCATCTTTTAATAATTCTTTATTTTGGTTGATTTTCACTTTATTTGATTGTGTTCACTGTTTACAATTTTTCCTTATTACATTTCTGAGTTATGTCAGAATTCTCTCCATGTATATATATTAGTACATATACTCCGTCATTGATTAAGTCTTCCAAATATTTAGTCAATGAAACTTAACATATTTTACGGTTACATCACAAAAACAATTTTCCAGTACATGTGGACATGTGACTGAAGTTTATAGTTAAGTTATAATTGATTAGTTTCCTCTAATATATTGGAGGATATAGCTGTTCACTTGGAACGATTTATAACAGAAATCATAAAATTAACTAAATTTCAAATACCCCGACCGAACAGAATCTTTTGGTATTATGAATAACTTGTCTCATCCATGTGATGTTCATTTTATTTCATTAAAAAGTAGGAATTGTTGGGTAGTTGCTCTCCATAAGTTTAAAATATATTCTATGTTTAGATAGAAAACTGTTACCAAGAGTAAGACAGTATTGAATCGACTATATTGAATGAAAAACGTCCTATGAGTGAATGATATAGTTTCACACTATACTGAAAGCAGTTTCTATGTCAGATCTGCTTCATGTCTCTGTATACTCTAACACGTTCATTGGAGTTAAAAAAATAGACGTAATTGGATAAATAAAGACCGATAAAGTGAGCCTATAATTTGAATTTCTTATTTTTAGTTTTAATTGTCTCTTTGATCTGTAATGTTGAAACCCTGGACATCCTTAGATGGATGTATAACCCTTTCAGTTTATTCGTGATGTTCTTCTGTTTTAGTTAAGAAGCCATTGAATTTCATCATAATACTTCAATTCAATCGTATTAGAACTATCGATTGGTTTTTTATTTGACTGAATTCTGATACAGTTACCTAATCTATTATATACTCGTTTTTTCTATTAATATTGTTCTGTTTTTCGTAAATTCTTTTCAAGGTTTCTCTCGTTTGTCGGATTATGTCTATGTATTGCTCTAATGTTTATATCTAGTTGGTATTACACTATCGTCGCTTGGGCGTTAGCTTTTGCTATTTACAAATATATTGAATTTAGAGGGTAAGTTTATTTCTCTTATAAAAATAATAAAATTATTTTAATTATTTTTAATATTCTCTAATCATGTAACAGTATTTTATATTTATTGATTTATTGATTAAATTATTTCCAGTCAATTTACTTTATCTTTTAATTCAGTTTTCACTAGTTAAGAGTTTTTCCTACAGAGTTTGAACATTCAGTTATTTAGTGACTATTGATGAAAACATTGAGTTTATGTAACATCTGTACTCATTGTTTTTAGTGTTTTCTTAGATAATTTACGTGCTTGTATCTACGGGTATATTACATGTAAATGAACTGTATTTCTTTTATTGTGGCAAACTAATGTAAATAAAATAGTTTTTATATTGTTAAGATCATGAGTCCATTGAAGCTAGACCACCATGGAAAACCTGGGAGCACTGGATGGCCGTTTCGTCCTATTTTGGGACTCCTCAGCAATGAGCATCGACGATCCCGCACTCGCGAGATTCGAACCCAGTATCTACCAGTATCGCGCAAGAGCACTTAACCGATAGACTATTGAGCCGGCATCCATCCATTCATATTTACATCAGTATCTATGTAGTTTACTACTATCCTTTAAAAATTTCATTTCGTGCAATGAAGTTATTTCCATTGGTAAATCTATCTAGTATGTAAATTACTCGATAGAAAAGCGTGGAATTTTAACAACTAGCCTACAAGCTACTCACTACACAGCGTTGTATTTCTTATTATAATTTGTCACAGTTCAGGATGTTATAATGATCATTATTACTATACCATAGTAATCATGTACACATAACGTTATGGTATACTCACCATTATATAATGTATATTTTAAATACATCTTTAATGAGTATCAGTCGCTCTTCGTATTTATTTTAGTTCTAATGCTGATATTATTTAGTTTTTCAGTCTTCCAGTTCTAGAAATTTGTTTCTATGGTTAAAATTCTAATACGTAACTAGTAACTAGTTATTGTCTACTTCTGAATCCGAGAAGTTTACAACATGTTTTATATTCAAATTAAAATTAAATTTATTTTTAACAGTCATCAAAAATACTTGTTTTTATTGCTGCATCACCAATTATTTGTGAATATTACTTTAACCTGTAGGCTGTTACATGTTATAACACTGAACGATGTTTTTTCATGAAGACCTATTATGTAACATATTTCGTCATCAGTACGACTTATTTCCACTTGATTAATTATCGCAATGATTATTGTTTCTTCTCTTAGTTCTTATACTTTCTTATACTATGTCACGCATACATGCATGACTGTACTTTTTTCATCTGTCTTCGTCTTTATTCCATTATTGTAAGTTTTAATTTATCTATCGATCAATTCTTGTGTTTTAAGAGGAAATTTTATTTTGTTCGTTGTACAGTTTGATTTCTTTGTCATTTCCTATTTATATACTCTGTACTCTTGTGCGTTTGTGTGTTTGTAACTTTCTATATTGGTTTGTATGTCTAGACAAACCTAGATAAGTTGTATTATTTCAGTCTAGACGTTTTGCCATCGATTCAGATTTGGCTTTCTTTCCTGGAATACCGATCTCAATTAGTAGTAGAGTTTGGTAACAAGAAGGAATTGAATTCCGTAACCACTATTCGTTTAATTTTTTTTAAAAATTTTGCAATATTTAGAATTACATCAGGTTCAAACTGATTTTATATTCAACGCGTTTCTGATGACTATCTTAAAAGTTACTTTATACGTTCAGTGTTGAAGAGAACACATGAATTTTTGTTCATGTAAACACTTTCAAAAGTATGAGTTCTATGTTCTGTTGAAAAAATTTAAAGTATAATATTTTGGATGGTCATAGTGAATATAGAATTTCAATGTTATGTCGTTTACCTTTAATGGTCATACTTTGACATTCGTTGAGTATTTATAAAGTTGATGTTTGTTAATCAGAACGATTATAGATACGCTTGCGTTCACTGAGATTATCTGATGATCGTGTTTTCTGATCGGATTTACATCATAAGTAGTAAATATCCCCCTATTGAAACACTGAATGTATATATGTTACACAACTGCACAACTGATATTGCATCAAGAAAGTCACAAGGAAAAAGCATACTGTTACGCAATATGTATCCACCAATCTGCTAAGCACTACTACAGGTCAGAAATATTTATACTTTTTAAGGGAAGAATTTACACAGCTCAAATCGATCTTTGAACATAAAACTGACCAAAATATGAAACATGCTCTTTTCTGTTTTATTACTAATCAACTGTATGTTAATTAAAAATCAATATCTGCTTGTAGTTGTCTGTCCTTCGAATAAAAATAAACTAGGTCTAATTATTTTATTATATACTATAAATAAGATACCTTTAATAGTTTATGTTCTAATTGAGCTCTTGTTGTTGATATATTGTAACAATGAAAATTTAATTTGTGTGAATATTACCCGCGGAAAATTTCTGCAGCATACATTGTAATAAATTCTTCTGGTGGGCACTCCATCGGAACTATAAACGGTCATATAATTTTTTTTTGACAATTCAAATTTTAGAGAGTTGAGATCATGAGTCAATTGTAGCTTGACCATCATGAAAAACCTGGAGGCACTGGACGGCCGTTTCGTTCTAATGTGGGACTCCTCGGCAATGCGCATCTACGATCCCGCCCCACCAGATTCGAACTCAGGACCTACCAGTCTCGCGCCAGAGCACTTAACCGATAGACCACTGAGCCGGTATACCACGGTGTTAATGTCTAACTTCAACTGATCCCCGAGATTGAGCAACTATTCACCAATGTCATCAGTGAGTTGATATCTCCCAACTGATGTAAACATGAATGAATGGATGCCGGCTCAATAGTCTATCGGTTAAGTGCTCTAGCGCGATACTGGTAGGTCCTGAGTTCGAATCTCGCGAGTGCGGGACCGTGGATGCGCACTGCTGAGGAGTCCCAAAATAGGACGAAACGGCCATCCAGTGCTCCCAGGTTTTCCATGGTGGTCTAGCTTCAATGAACTCATGATCTTAACTTTATAAAATTACTAAAATCTCCACCAAACCCCTTCTGACAATTAAAATTTTCTTCAATGCTATAAGATTAATTTTCTTAATAAAATTAATCATAATTTGAAATTTCAATAAGATTGTTTGATCCTCGAAGTTTAATGAATGAAGTGATTAAATACTGTTGTTGAATTAACTAATCATACACTCTGAATATTTGCTTCTCTTCCGTTCTTATTTGGAATAAATTAAACTCTCAGATCTGAGACTTGATATTATTATATTCATAATACATCATTATTATTAGATGGCTTTTTTAAAAACAAACTGAAACAGTTCACTTTCATACACTTTCAAAATGTGTACTTTAACAAAATGAAATGTATTCAGCTGAATTTTAACAAGATCTTCCAAATCCTAATGAAAACTAAAATGTGTTCAAATTATGCGTTGTGGATAATCAGTATCTTAAGTAGATCTTAAGTTCTTAAATTTGACTAACTTACATTCTTCCCCAATCTAAATGAACAAACTTGTTTCATTATGTATTCTAAATTTTTCAGAATCTTAAGGTCATTTACTGTTGTTCATTTAGTTTGAAGTTCCTGCACACAAATTAGATTTTCTCACTTATTTGAAGTTCTAGTGAATCAGTTAATCTCATTATTGTTTTCTGTTCAAACACAAAATTTCAGATTAATTTACTACTAGTAATATTATCATCATCATGGCTAGAAGCATTCACTGCAATTCATGTTTCATTTTTGCAGACAGTTCATTTTTACGTTTATGCGACGAGCTTTTGAATTGTGCCAAGGTCACATAATTATTTTGCTAACTTTGATATAGATTCATAATTTTTAGAATTACTTATAAAAAAAGAACAAATATACCTCACTGTTTGGCACAGGAATTTATTATCTTTATCTGTTCTTCACTGAGTATTATATGCATTACTTATTAAAATCAATTTGAAAAGTTGTGTCCCCCCATATAATTTAAAAGATCAGAATAAATGTGATAAATGATAACCATATATGACAACTGCAATATCAATAAAATATTTGTCTATATAGCAGAATTAGATAGTGGTTAGAAATCGACATAACCAATGAGAAGATTTAAGCAACGTTTAAAAATGAATTTTGAATTATTATAATTATTACTTACTAATATCACTGTCATTCCATTAATTGTTGTTGACATCTGCTTGCTTACTTATTATTTCCTTGTCAATCTACTCTTTCATTCTTATCCTCTCTTTAAGTATTCATTTCTCAGTTTTTGTATTGTCACTGCCACTATTATTACTATTATTATTACTATCACTTGGTTAACCTACTTCTTCAATTAATAAACTATAAAGTAGAAGGTAATTACAAGTGAAGTTTATTTCATTTACTTACAAACTAGCTTTATTTTGTTTTGTTTAGGGAAAATATTAGTATGAATTGATTGGTAATTGTTTTTTGTAGATTTTACGATAAATGTGATTATTCGACTTCAATTTTAACTCTTCTTAGTTGACCCTGTTAAGTATTTTAAATATATTTGTTAATGATTTAGTCCAAGATATACCGTTTGTTAAATTCATAATATCATTGGATATAGCTGTATACCAATGAAAATGTATGTCTCCACTGAATCCTAAATCTACCATTTGATCAATATTCTGGTAAACATTAGGTTATTTTCTATTCTGTTAAACATCATGAACTGAAAATGATTTTAATCTAAAAAAGCAATATCGTTTTAGAAATAATAGATTGAAATTGAACTAAAATACATAAGATTAACGTAAACACACACAGTATGTGTAGCACTTCAACCTTTCTGGAAGGAAGACCAGCATCATTAAGATCCACTAAATACTTTAGGTAAATGTTTGTTAAATTGATGAAATTGGATTTGACTACTGAATGAAATAAGTAGTTGAGGATTGATTAGATGCATCAGCTGAAATCTTTTAGAATTTGGTAATTTCGAATAATTTGTAAATAAATCAACCATTTGATCATAAACTTAACCAAGTTTACTCACAGTTACACTGAACTTAAGCTTAAAATTATCTTCAGAACTATATTGACACTTAAATCTCCAATGATTGCAGTTACAATTGAATAAATTAGCCATTGGGCTGTTCAAGAAGATACTATCATACCGGTTGTATTAGCTTCGAACCATTGATTTTTCCTAATAATTCATTTTATTCACACTTCATTATACGAGAATGATGGGTCACATATAAACTTGTTCAACTGCTGTATCCATTTAGTTCTTTAGTTTTCTTCAACATAATAAAACGTCTTCTAGTTTTTTTATTTAATCCCTTAATAATTTGTCTGCCGTTACTGTTATTAACACAAAAATGGTGCTTCATTAATTTTACTGCATTTCTCCCAAGAACTGAAGGCACGATTTACTAATTTTTGAACCTCATAATCAATAAATTAAGACTAAAAATTCATCTTCGATAATCCATTTCATTTTATAATGAAACCAGTTGTAAACACTGATTCGATACATAATTGGTTTATCTTTTAGTTTTAAGTAAATTCCAGTCATAGTTCCACGCTTTATTTCGGTAGATCTATTCCTTTTCAATAAATAGTCTGTTTGTGCTAAAATTTAGAACGTTGCTTATTTTAAAGACATTTTACAAGTATGTTTCATGTATATATATATATATATATATATATATATATATATATATATATATACTGAAGTAGTAAGTAGTTCTGAACGAATCAACAAAGATAATCATTAGTTTAGCCTTATTTACATAATACTCCGTAAATTGCCGTAATGAAATTCTATTGTTTACGTAATGAGTTTCAAACTTTAAACGTTGTAGATGATAGCTTCAACTCTCATCATATTTGTTGATCTAATCCCTTTAGAGATTGTTTCTTTGGAGTGAATTATAATTTATTTAATTCTTCCTTTTTCATACGAATCAAAGTTTTATTTTATTTTATATTATTATTACTATTACTCGCTTTATTCAATAACATATTTTTGGTACAATGTACAATTCTTGACACAAAGAATTTCAAAAAGTTTCCGTTTCTCATTTCCTGGTTGATCCTAACAATAAATGCTGAGTGATCACCAGTTAGGTGTTAGCAGTCCAGCAACCGACAACTGAGTAATTTTCTTTTTTTTCACAATGTATTTGACTGTATTTCTTTGTAACTGGTACAGAGAAATTTCATAAACTTTTCATAAACGCACCTGAATAGGTTATGCGACTAATCAACATATTAATGTGCTAAAACAATCAAAAACATACAACTTGTTAAAATGGCAGGAACAGGTAGCCCAGATATTCAAGCGGGCCACCGTGTCAGAAAAATGGTAATGAATACTTTACAACAAGTATCTACTTATTTGTTTACTAAATAATATTTCAGATGGATATTTATTTTGTTTTAGTTTTTACCTAAACACATCACCAATTTCTAGTCATTGTAAGTATTGAAGATTATTTATTTGGTAATAGATAATTTATTGACTTTGTAGCTCTTTCTGAACTTCATGTATTATGTTAACGTTCATCTTTAGCACAGATTTCTTTTATTGATTTCCCTGAAGTTGTATAAAAAGAACATTATTCATGTATTTTTCTACTGATCGTTATGTGAAATTATGCTAAATATACATTAACGTCTAGTGTATGAATAACTTCGATTAGAAGAAAAATGCAAAAACGTTTTATTTTGAAAGATAAAATGAATGTATACATGTATTAAACCACACCTTAATAATAATGAGATTAGCCAAAGTTCATCAATCAGTTATTTTAATACATTCACATGATACTTGAACTGATAACCTTATTTTGTTAGGAAACTTTCAAAAATTCATAGTTTTATTGAAGGATAGTTTCAGTTAACTATTTCTGGTCAATCTATGTATATGAAGTTTTTCATCTTATATCTGAATCTTGATAGTAGATTTTTAATCATTCAACTGAATATGTACATATTATTGGCAGCTAAAATTACTAATAATTTGTTAATGAGATCAGGAAGACTATATCATACATGAACTCTTATGCATTGTCCTCACTGTTATACCCTACTTCCAATTATTAAAACTTCTCTGCAGTTTCCGGTACAACTATTTTATTAGTGATGACCTGTAATTCTAGGTTGATATGATAGCGCAGATTAAAGTATCCACATGTGATATACTGGTTGGAAAATTTTATTCTTTTGAGCGTTATCAAACCAAAAATGGTCTGTTGTCGATTAGTTTTCCAGTGCAAGTAGTTTTCTTGAAATAGGTATATAAAAATATAGACTTGTAATTACAAGAATATCTTAACTGAAACTTCATAACTACTTTTTTTATTTTCTAGTAAATAATAAGAAAACTGTACACAACATCTTGTTTTAAGCATTTTGGTACCGGTTTTGAATTTTTTTCATGGACGAGACAAACTCCGAAACTTTGAACCTTCGATAAAGTTACTTTCTGTGACTTAATTTCACCAAATATTTCATGTTCTACAGTCACATAACTAAATCAGCCCACCTGCATCCTGAAAGGCAATAACTGCAGTGAATTATTCTATCACTATCGGTACACACTCCATAATGGTTTTTCGTTATCATCACTATCACCAGCCATAACTCTTTATTATTTTATCCAGTTACTTAAGTTGTCCCTTTTATAGTTTCTAAACCTTCTTATTGTTTGAACGGCTTCTGAAAACTACGACGGAGCCGAAGAGTTTCCATCCAATCAGAACGCGATGGAGCTTTCTAGAATATCGGGTCATGCTACTAATGCACAGTAGCATAACTCGCCTCTTTGCGGATTGGCCGAATTATAATGATGTTGTAACAGAAGCTCATACCTAAAACTACACATTATTTTCTGTACATTTTGATTCTTACACAACAAACACTTCTCCAACTTTCTTCTATCTTCTGTTTTGCGACTCTGGGGTTCTTTGCGTTCGAATGCCGTAGTTGTATACCGTATTCTGCGTTAATCAAGTAGTGAACATAACACAGATATTTTGAATGTTCAAATCTATGAAATGATGTTTTTTCATCTTCATACGTCTAACTTTATGGTTAAGGGTTTTTTTCATAACATTCTGCACTGGGAATGTTTGCTATATTTTCTTATTTAGAAAAGTACACATCATCTTAACTTGTGTACTCAATTTTATCATCCTAACACAAAAGCAATCTGTACACTTAATTATGTAAAAAGAAAATATTGGTGTTAAAGGCATATTATGTAGTATACGCTACAAAAATTTCTTATCATCAAGGGCATGAGTTAACAGACAACAAAATGAGTTCGCAAAAACATGACTGAGATTACGCCACAGTAATTAATACATGTCTTAATCTCAATAAATCATCTATCTACGGCTCAGCAATTAAATAAAGTTTGTACAGGACGCTCTAACTCACTTCTTAGTTAATAAACAACTATTTAAAATATTTTTAATAACTTGAATGAATAAATAAATATTTTCAAATTTTAAGTCACGAATTGATTGTAGTTAGATCACCATTTAAAACCTGAAAGCTTTGGACGGCCATTTTATATCATTCTGGGGCTCTTAGATAGTGCACAGCCACGACTCCACATCTGGAGATTTAACCCAGGATTCTCGGCGTAAACCTTTGTACTATTGCTCCAAATATTAAAATGTTAGCGAAACATCGCTTTTTGCCACTATGGAGTAGAAATGATAATGTTAAATGCGTCAGATGATCAATTTCGTTACTTTACATTGTACACAACTGGCGGACCGATAACATCTCTAAACTTTAATGCTAACCTCTTAGTCCTGAAATGAACTCCAACTTGTCAGCATCATATTTTATGGATAAACTAACCATATAACGCTACTTTTCCGCGAAATTCATTTATCGAATCAGCTGTAGAGTGCTTTGACATTGTAGTTGAAATCTATTTGTTAAGAAAACCCCAACTCTATACCCTAACCTAACCTTACCTATATAAAATGTGGAGACTAATAAAAGTCTCTTTGAGTCCTTATAACGTTTCGAGACGATGGGTAGTTTATATCTATAAGTTTGTCTCCATATTTCGTTAAGTTTTTAGATTTACAAGCAGGAGAACTTGTAGAAGATGTTAATAGATTTACAAATTATGTTAAATCTGTTTACACTTAATAATATAATTGTTCTCTCAATCAGAAACTATCCATTTACAAAACCTGATTTCCAATTGACCAGAAAATAGTTATTTTAAAAATTTATCATCTCTATACCATAATTTCACTCTGTTATGTTATTCATATTGTACAGTAAATTATCATTATTCACCTTTGAATAAATAATGCTGGAAAAATAAGATAGTAACCTCTATTCATTATACAAAAAAGACATTAAATCTCTACATATTATTTTTATCATTATTATCTAACTTAGTTATTGTTTTGCTTACACAAAATGACAAATACACACTTTCTGACTTATTTATATCTATTCTACTCATGAATGATAGTAATAATAACAATTGTTATACTTTCATTGAGCTCCATTATCATTACTTTCATCAGTTTTAACCCTTTTTTAAAAAGGAAATGAGAATAAATTTATAACTTTGTTACTATTGTTCTTCTTATTATTATTAATAATATTTTAGTGCTTCTAAAGAATGGGGTGATGCTACACGAGGTTTACAAATGTCCACAGCAAAAGAAGCTATTTTAAAACTTGGTAATAAACCAATTCATACAAAAAATTGGCGACCGCAAATTTTAGTTTATTTACCATTGGATGAAAATTTCCAGGCACGTCATGATCGTCTATTAGATTTAGTTTATCAATTAAAAGCTGGACATGGTAAGAGTTTAGTATTGTTGATTAAAATTGATTGATTGTTGCAAAAAAGAAATTTATTTGAAAAAGTAAATTTCATTAGCTTTACTGATTTTATGTCTCTCACTATATGTTTCCTATAAAGAATAGATTTCTTTTGTGTAATACCCATTGAATATATTCTGTGTTATTATGCATCATTATATATTAAGTGTATACTCATGAATCCTGTTTACTGTTTGTTTAACGTTTGTACTTAATTGCATGTTTCTTAAATGAGAAACTTAAGTAGCTAGATGATATAGACGTACTCGTTTACTTCTCTTTTTTTTCATCTAAATCTCAATTTATTCACTGAATATTCTGCTATTTTTATTGAATGCATGGATATAATGTTCAAGTGTGTAGTTCTTTCATTAGAATTATAATACAGTAATACTGAGTTGTATTTTTTTTTCAAAACAATCTATTGTTTGAAATCAGTTAAAATTTAAACAAACTTATACTACCAAAACTGGATTTTTTATAATCCATATTGATGCTTAAAATCTTCCTGGAAAATCATTTGGATAACAGTTTAATTATATACTTTTCATTTAAAAGATCATCTTACTGATCCAAATTAAATTATACACATATGTATTTATTACTTAACCGATACTAACGAAACTTCTATACATTCTATTCATTATACATTTGTTTTTCAACTTTAGTTTTATCTAAGACTTTTGTGGGAAAAAAAAGTTTTTATTTAAGGAAAAAGCCAACAAAATTGAAAGAAAATTAACATCGAATTTAGTTTGTTTTCTACTCTATAAAAATATTGATCTACTGGAGAAATTTAAATAACACTTATGAACACTGAAATTATCTTTACTAATCCTATATTTGGCACTTCATCACAATCTTCTTGTTATTTGTAGTATTATAAATAATTTATCATGTTGGTCTAGAAGAAGAACAATTTAATGATAAGGATGATATGTTTGAAATATTTTTGTGAAACTATAAGTTTGTGAATAGTTACTTCTGACCAATCAATACTGTCATTAGTATAAGCATATATTCGGCATGGAATCACAAAATTAATGTCTCTACAGTGTTTTTTATTCATTAACCGTAAGATCTGTTCGTTGTCCATAGACTATTAATCATGAGTTGTTATATTCCAGATTATACCATGTAGGAATGCTATAATAATTTTAAAGTTTTATTTACAATACATAACTACATTTGCAATTGATTGCTCACCGATTATTGATCACTATCATGTTTAAGCAGTCCCTTAGTTGTGATCGAAATCTATCGAGAAACATTACATTGGTCACTACACAGTGATCAATCATTTGTAAATATGCAAGTCATACCTGAGGATAGTTACAAACTGAACAATTCAGTGGTAACATCTCTGACTTAAGCTGAGTGACACTGGTATGAACCCCAGAACGTCAGTTTCTTCAAGATTACAAGAATATCTTGCTGACAAGTGACAACTAGCATGAAACTTCAGTACCGAGTCTCTTGTCGATTACCTTTAACCACCCAACATAACTCTAATTTACTAGTTTTATTTAATGTGATTTTCATAACAAATAGTATTGGGATAGAAATAGATCATTGAAATTCTCTCGATTTGAAGAAAGTTTTCTATTAAAAAGCAGATTAAACTGGCAAGTTAATAAATTAAAGATTCTTATAAACGTAAAAGCTCACTCATATCATGAAAAAGTGCAAAATAATTTTAAACTTAAAAGTGCTCTAATTGGTATGATAGCAATGTACAAATGGATATTAATACGATATTAATACTTTACGCACAACTTATACTTCACTAGATGTTATAGTTATTGTTAACTTTTAATTTACCCAAGTAACTAAGTACACGTTTCTATACTCAACTTGTAGTTCACCCTATTTTACAAAGCGTATTGATGATGTTTGGCTATTCTAAAAAGAATTGGAATCGATTTCAATTCTGCAATCCATTGATTTAAATAACGACACTTGGACCACCAAACGTGCACTTTTGTTGTTTCCATTTACCTGACTATCGTTAGTATTCCATAAGCTGTATCATAAATAAATAATTTTGTCGGGTTACTTGTCTTGACTATCTACTTTCAGTGAACAGTAATATCTTATAGGTTTCAAAACATAAACTAAAATGCTAATTTTGAGACTTTGTACAATAATGAGACCAAATTACTTTTTTCATATACTAGTTTTAATTTGACTGCGAGAAAAAGATATATAAATAACTTTGAAATCCATCGGTTATGGACTGATACATATCACTAAAAAACTATTGAAAACTTGAGAAAGTTCTGAATGTTCATATTTGATCTTTGTTTGTTAATTTGCAAAATGAATTGATTGATCCTATAACATCATTAATATACAATGAACAAATACTAATTCCAGATAAATATTCAGTTCTACATGTAAAATAACACGTATTTTTAATAAATTTAATTATCATACCATAACTCTTAATAAATAATCACTTAAAAGTTGATACGATTATTGTATGGCTGTTTCATAATGAAAAAAGGTAGTTATTTTTGAAAAAATACAGTACTGTTTGTTACAGTCAACAAAACACCAACCATAAAGAAACCAATAAAGAGAATAAAAATCAGAAGAAATATGCCCGTAAGTAATAAAAGAGGCATAATAAATACGTACATAATCCATTGAATAGTTAAAGGAAATCAATTACATGGGTTGAATTTATATTTTGTTCTTGTTAGTACTCATTAATTAAATGTATCTGAACCATTTAAGAACCCTTACCTTTTGGATTATTCACACACATATAACAGTGTAAAACGGTTGAAAACTTCACAAAAGAACTATTCAGACTGTAACTATGTTTTATTAGCATTGAATTAAGCGAACTAATTCCTATATCACATTTTTTATTTACTAGTGCTAATCCAAGTTAGTTAACGTGGTAACCATATTATAAATTTACTCTATATGTATAATTTAATCAACATTAAAGACTAAAAAATATGACAACAAGTACCATTTAGTAAGTAGTTAATATATGTAGTTATCTGAAATTTAAATTTTATACCATACTGAAATGTTAAATAAATTCACCTTGTTAAAATTCATTATGTTTTAATTACACTACTTTGAACAGAAAGCTTATAAATTTTGTATAACTTACAATAATATTTACTACTAGTTTCATGAATCTGTTATTTATCATTCTCTTATTAATTCAAGGTTTAATTGATAGACCGTCTTAGTTGTTATGTTATAAATTGAAATAATCAGGTATCACTATTTTAAGTTACTAAACTATGAAGCAACGATGCTAAATCTTTGAAATAGTTATCTCTTGATGGGCCCTGAAAATTGAGTATTACTATTTTACAAGAAAAAAATCTATGGAATGATGTTGCATTTTGACAGTTTTCCCACATAATTTAATATTTGTTAGATGAAATTAATAGTAATTTTTATTCACACACTAAGGTTGTTATACATATGAAATTTGACATAACTGTCTTGATTGTAACAAATTCTATAAATATATACTACCTGTTGTTGATCAATACGTTGAGCGTTTGGTCTTTGACGAAGTTATAAAAATTGTAAAATTACTCTTCTGATCTATCCCTTCTAAAGTAAGGCATTAGCACCGTTGGGTGCCTGCTCAGTGGTTTAAAGGTTAGGTGTTCGCGCACGAGACAGAAGGTCCTGGTTTCGGATCCTATGTGTGGGATCGTGGGTGCGCACCGCTAAGGAGTCCCATACTGGGAGGAAACAGCCGTCCAATGCATCCAGGTTTTCAATGGTGGTCTTGTGGTGTGATATATGGAAATGGTCAGACATATAATATATTTTGGCAGAAGTTCGATGAGGGAAGAACTGAAATGAAGCGCAATCGGTACGAAAATGCACGAACAATGTAATTAGAGAAGAAACAGTGAAGATTGAGACTGTTGGTTGTTAATTTGCAAATTAACTGTCCATTGTATGGTTTGCAGAATTTACTGAGATAGTCTGTAACTTTTGCTTAAATACATTCGATTGTCCCCAGTTGTGTTCTGTTTACTACAGTCTAACATTGATCGATTCACTATGTCAATCAGAAAGAAGAAACAATAGAGTCGCAATTCAAATTTCCATCCTTTAGTTCTTTTTCTCCTTGCGTTCTACGTATATATGTGTATTAATTTTTCTGTTTAGATTATCTTTTGTGGTTTTGCGCGTCTTCCTCTATGTTCATCGTGTGTAGATGTGTGTGTTTATATGTTTGTCGATTGATATTAATAATGAAAATTCGTATACTTATTTCTCTAATTGTATCATGTAAGAATCCTATTCTACTCTCATTAGGAATAAAAAAAATACTTTGTTGTCGTTACTACAAGAAATATGGTACAAAGCTTTCTATGCTTGAAGAGATAAAGTATTAAGATTATATATATATATATATGAAAATGTTTTATGTATTAGCTCCGTCAGGACATGTAGACAAAGATTAAACATGATGATGTGAGAGAAAGATGATAGTACAAGATTACCTATGATAAATAGTAACAACAAATATTGTGCGTGTGTGCAAATAAAATACCTTGTATAATTAACAAGTTAGCAACGGATTATAACATGAATGGACCAAATTCAAACTATTTCTCATATCCCCATGATTTTATTTATAATTATTTCTCGTTCCACTTCATTTAAATAAATCTCTCTACTACTTTTAGTTATCGCAACAAAATCATTTATATTCTGTGTTGCAATGAATATTTTTCCGGCATTATTCGCCCTGCTAAAATGAAAACTTAATAAAGTATGATAAAAGTGACTAAATATAAATATTTTTGTGGTGTGTGCTACTGATGTAGTATGTATCATCAATCGGAAGTGAAATGCATGGAGGCAGAAGGATAAGAAGATCAAGAAAAAAAGAACGAGAACAGAGAATGTTTGCTGTGGAAACCAAAAAACAATGAAGTCTGAGACAATCGACTGATATTTACAAAGGGATAGTCAAGTTTGAGACAGTAGATTGACATTTTGCAAATTAAGTATTCACTGTATGGTTCTCAGATTTTACTAAGATGTTCATTAATTTTGTATTCAAATACATCCGATTGTCCCCACTTGTGTTCTTGTTCGCTACACTAGTACTATTTATAATAAAATATAACTATCACAACAATAATAGAACTGATAAATCAACAAAAGGTGTATATTCCAAATAAGTCTATGGAAATTGTAGTCATTTTAATTATAGTGATTATATTAATTTCCCAAGCTTAGAAGTAAAGATCTGTATTCCTTTTTTGTTCATGAGTTATCGTTGTTGTAACTTTTACAGGTTTAACATTAGTGGCATCGATTTTAGAAGGTGATATTATCGACAGACGTAATGATATGATTGCTGCTAAAGCTCATTTAAGTGATCTTATTCAAGAACATCGTATTAAAGGTTTAGCTGAAGTTCTCGTCGCTTCTACTATTGATGAAGGCATGAAAAATATGTAAGTTCTGTTTCATATGAATTATTATGTCAGTTATGGTTGCTTTTTTTTAGTCATGTTATATGTATAATAATGGTAATCTAATTAAAATTATTTATTTATTTATAAATTAACTGTTAACTGTCTTTTTTTATGTACCTTAAACATTCAAGGACTACTAATCGTCAGACCACAAATAGATTCACTTACTTGAATGTAACTTCTATTAAGTTTTGATTGATAAGAGATTACTTTTCATTATTGTTGATAGGTGTGGGTAATAATGTCCAATTTCATAAATCTGCTGCTTTTAAATCTCATGATTTGCTCAGTATCATTACTGTCAAGTAATAATTCTTTAGTGTAATAGGAAGACGAAGATTATCTGAATTGTTGATTTATTATGTAATATATTTATGATATGTTTGCTATTATGTTACATAGTTCTCATAATCGTCGTCTTACTATACTGTCCACATCTACCAAAATGACTAATTGCTTTAAATATTTATTTGGTTGACTGTAGTTCATAGTGAGAGCTATTTCCAAATTATCTGTTCTAATAATTGTAAATATGCATATTTGTTAAGTGTTATTCATTGCTTTATTTAAGTGTTTAGTTACTTAAAATAACCTAGTGGTGTTTAGATTAGAAACTAATTACAAAATTGCATTTATTTACTGTATAATCGAACCGTAGTATTAGTTCCTAAAGTAATTGGCTTTTATTCTAAACTGATTATGTAGTTACTAACTAGCTGGTTGAAACCCGCTCGACCAACTTGATCAGTATTTGAAGATTTTTGATTATATGGCCCAGAATCATTAGCAATGACGCAGATGCATTTACTGTTTGTCTAACCCTAGATCCTCAATTTCGAAATTAATTTATATCTTTTACTGCGCAAATATATTATATTAGGATTATATTCTATATGCCTAACCACTAATACTGCTGCTACTTCATTCAGTTGAATGTTCATTTTAATAACTCAATGCTATTATCATTAATCACTGTACTAGCTTAGGTCGATGTATATCTGTCAGGTTCTTTGGTTGCTGATAACTAACTAACCGTACTTTTTTGTTCCAATAAAATTTATAAGTACGTGTTTAAGGATAATATCTTATTTTCAGTATTAATTGTACAACCCGTGTAGATTTTCACAGATATATTATTACGATAAATATTTCTACATGATTTAATCATACTAATATTGGCAAAATTACTATTTATTATCTCTCACAATTAGAAATTTTATGTACGTATAAACTGATAATATTTTTTAAATAAATATTGATATACAAACCGATATTGGTTATCTAGTTCATTGGATTATTACAGAAATCTTTGTAAATGATCAAAGCCATTTCTCGGTAAACACTTTAATTGTTCTCTTTTTTTTGAAAAACAAAACAATTTTACTAATAAAGGAATGATAATTTTTTGTCGTTAATTCATTAAATAACAACATTTACAAAGGGAATTTCACATATATAAGAATTTATAAGAGTTAACAATGAATTTTAAGTGAAATGCTTAAAATTTAATATTTTAAAAAACTATGAAAATATGTAAAAACGAAGAAATCTTTTTACACAAATCTTTTAACTTAGTGACTAGTTTTTTTTTCCTGTTTTAAATAATCATAATAATCATTTACTTTGAATTTACCATTCAGAAACTGAATTCATGATTAAATATTTATTTATTTAAGCATATACATATTGATACAAAGATGCACCAGATATATATGCATCACACAAATCTCATTTGATTTGTATGAGGGATGTGATACTGCCCAGGTTCCCAAACTGAAGCAGGTGGTTTTCTTAGGGGTCCACACCCGGAGCCTTCTTTCTGAAGGTCTGATCCACAAGGCAGTGGAGCATCGTGAGGAGATGTAGTCCCATGGTAGCCGATTGTTTCATACGCTATTTGTCCCCTCAGGATACTGGGGCCCATGTGCACCATTGGTTTGGAATCATGGTTTTCCAACTCCCCTAGGTGGACACACCACATCCACGAATTCGATTAAAGCGCCGGACATTCGCTTTTCGTCCTCTCACTTTCGTAAACAACAGTAATGCCACTAGAAGGCAGTGAGTAGGACTTCTCTGGCAGAGGCTATATACGCGTGACCATGTGAGATCATTTGGAGAGGGAGAGCGGACTATCCCCACTCTCAGCCGTACCAGGGCATTTGGGGGCTACCAGGGCATGTAATTAAGAACTAATATGTTTAAAACTGTAAATAATTTGTAAATATTAACTTATTTGAATAATTTCACATATAAAATTGATTACATTGTATATTTCAATTGGTAATAACAATACATAACAGTGAATCATTATAAACTATCAGGTAATTGAATCAACGTTAAATTTTGTAAAATGATGTATGAAATGAACTTTTAGGAAAGAGAGAAAAAAAATGGAAGAGTGTTCAACCTGATTCGGTCAACTTTATTGTTATCTAAATTAAAACTGAAAAAAAAAATTATGATAATCTAACACAAAACTTTTCTTTGCCTTCAAATATCAGTCTTGGTCAAAATTATTTTTATTATTTTTTATATATATATGTAGATGTTTTACACTTATTAAAATATTCTAAATCACTTATAGTTGAATTATTCAACTATTCTATTCATTATTATTATTCTTATTATTTATAATTGTTATATTCTGTAATCACTTTTTATACTAAACTTTTATAAACCAATAATTATTTGTTTATAATAAAAATAAACAAAATCTATTTTTCATCTATTTATTTATTTATTCAATATTTCGAGAACAATACCTGAACGATGAAAAAAAAAATATCACATATATTAAGGACATCAAAAATAAAAAATTGGAAGAATGAAAAGAGAGAATAGACATAATAGTTTAACACATTTAGCAAATAATTAATCATATTTATGTAAGTGAACTTTTGTGCATGATGAATAAATTAATAGAGTGATGCTGAGATGGAACTAAAAAAAAACAACAACATTATTGTTAAGATGAAAAAATACGTTTTGTTACATATATACAAGGATTATAATATTTGTATACTAGAACTGTCATATAACAACAACAACAACTATACAACAAATGGCTATAGCCAAAAACATATTTAGATGAATCAAATAAATAATAAAACAATAATTTAGTAATGAAGAATATTTAGTATATAAATGAATACAAGATAAGATTATCGATAACACAATGATGATGACAGAATAATAAAAAAAAGAGAGGGAGTGTGTGTGAGAGTTAATAGAAAGCCTAGATATTATTTCATTCTACATACAAACAATAATATAATTGTGGGAAATAAACTATTGTAATGGAATGAATAAAAGTCTGAATAGTTTCATGCATTAGTTAATATTTTATAATGTTTATTCAATCATACATAATATAGAATAGAAAATAAGATTTTATTATTTTGCTTTCTCTTTTCACCAATTTATTCATTTGTCTGATTTTTTTCTAAATTATTTCTTGTATTCCCTAAAATATTTAAAGTTAACATTATCATACTACTAATAATTTTATATTCTTTTTTTCTGAAATTTGAACAACTGTCTTCATGATTTCCGGTACAACCCAATAATAAATTATCATTATGGGAACTAGTTGTAAATATACTGTAATATCTTATTTATGTAATTGACAAAATCATGAAAATTAGTTGTAAGATAAATGTCAATAGGGTACATATGTGTTCAAAAATAAATGACTAAGATAACTTTGTCACGCAGATACATATCTTATCAGCTTCGCTTTAACAAAATGACTACTTATAATCTGATGGAGTCAACTAAATCTGCCTGAATAATACTGTCGATTAACGTCAACAGTTTTAACTGCTATCCGTTTCGGGAGTAAATAAAACATTGTTTAGGTAGTATATAACAATGAATATCAATCATTACCACTCTTTAAACTTCTTAAATTTCACTTATCTTGAATTGTTTTAACTGTGAATTGTTTTCTTCCAACCTAATTAAAATGAGACATTTCTAATGTCAAACGTTTCCAGCCTTTGATTAATTTTATAATGGGTAAATGACGTTTGGGAATTGCTTTCCAATTATATGTACCGGTTTTAGGTAACCAAGTAATGAATACTGAGTAACGCCCATTAATAGACTCAAATATTAGAATACTTCATAAATAATAAACGTCATATCATTTTGTTAACTAAGTCTATCTATTATGTTAGAAGAAATATTTCTATTTAAAGTCAATTTATATGTAAACAGTCGCAAATCATTAGCCTTGCAAATGCTGTACACTATAAATTTTAGTCTCACAATCATTTCGTGTGACAAGTTTCTAAATTGATCGTCTCACTAATAATATTGCAAAGTAATTACCTGTAGAAATCAAAGTGTGTAAATCAATAATAGTAATGATATAAACTATTTGTTCTCTGAGTTTTGTTGTGTATTTAACTAGTTACAAATTACTAGAAATCACTATTTTTCTCCGAATTAGTGTGGGCAAATGTTCAGTATACAGTGCAATCCATGAATTATTTTATCATTCTACACTAATCATTAATTTTTATAGAATAGATGAATTGTGACTAGGAGTGTAATGTAAGGCATTCGTTTCGTCAACTGTATATACTTAGATTCTGGCGTTGATATTCTTATTGGACCTCTAACATAGTACAATTCGCTTTAAATGTCAACATGTCAACAAGTGTTGATTTTTTTCTGTTTTTTAACTTACTCTTCTTTTTTTGTAACATTCATTTTAAACTTTATTGTTATTCTTTACATTTTTACCAAGTACAAATAAAATTCTCATCCACTTTTTTATAGAATGAATAGGTTTTATTATTTTAATAATAAGCAAAAAATAGTTGTTCACTTTCTGACGTCTTTTTCCCAACATACTTCACAATCAATCCATTTGTAATTAAAATCAGATAAGTGTTTCCTGATTAAAATTATTACCAGAATCATGATATCAGAAAATACATAGAAAGCAAGTTGATTGACAAGAATAATAAGTTTGTTTCTTAAATGTATTATTTGAATAAGAAATATGTCCACAAAATGAAAAAACTGAATATTAATTCTTTGCATATCTAAGTTGCATGTAAGTTTAAAGTTCTTATCATTTTTAGACGGCTCATTTAGATAAAATTTATGGAAATGTTACGTTACGAAATATATATATATATATATATATATATATATATATATATATATATATAGGTTCATTATCACTTTCACTATTGCTTTTAATTCCATGTCACTATGTACTGTTGAGTAGTCCTTAAACATACTGAAAGGCCTGATCGAAATTTCCTGTTTTTTTTTAATAAATTATCTCGTGTCAATATATGTCTAGGGCATGTTTTCAGAGATACTATGCAACTATATTCATAAAATATATAAGTAAATGATAGTATTATTCTAAACCTTCTTAAACTTTGATTAGTATATTCATTTTATACAAGAGATTTTAAAAGCTTTTAAATTAATTTTAATTGACTCTTTAATACAGTCAGTTATCTTTTTTTGTACCATATAAATTGAAAATGTTTGACTACTTGACACAAATTATTGCTTTCACTTTTAACATCAAGAAATTAGTTTTATAGATTTAAAATACTTTTGAACTTGAAAGTATTGTACTTCTAATGGACTACTTATGAAAATGTTAATTATGTTAAATAGTACAATATCAATTACACAGGAAGTTAATAATATATTTTAGCCTGGAGGAGCTTTCATCTAGCGCGTTTATCTAATTCATTTCAACCAAACCAACTCTAATTTCTATACATTATTTCAACATTCAAGTCAATGGTTATTGAGATGGAGAAACTTATTGAATTACTTAATTATTAATTCCAGTGAAAACTTCTGTCAAATCTAGGGGAATACACTCCATGAATAATGTTAAATAATTACCTAGATTCTCATCTTTAGGGAAGCCATTTCATATTTTTAGTTAAAAAAAATCTGTTGATCCTTTTCCAATACTCTATGTTTTAAGAACACATGTGAATTCACACAAATATTCGTCAATATCAGAACGAATAGTTTGATAAAATTTGAGCGCCGAGTATAGAGAAGATATGATATATGAAAATTATATTTGAAATAATCTCAGTGACTGAAATTTAAATAATTCCAATGTTTCGTCCAGGCAAGTTTGCTGAACGAAATTTCAGTCAGTAAGGTTATTTCAATTATAATGCTCATACATGTTAATTGTTTTCAATGTAATGTCTTGCATTATTATCGCATGTTTTTTTCTACTGAACATCACAGTCTTTTTAACAAATAAAATAAAGATTAATGGATCTCATGATGAGTTAATGGTTGTTGGTTTATTGAGATTCGTGGAACGAATTATGTACTTCATATTCCAGAAATTAAGAATGGACTAAAACTTTTCAGACAAGCTAATATTGACAAAATTAGCTTGTAATTAACAGTGGAACTCAAAATTCACTTTTTGTTCTTTTTAGGATATATTTGTTTCCTAATGTTGAGATTCACACAGAGATACACTGATATCTCGCAGCACTCATCTGACGATTTCTACTTGATAACCCACTTTTAGCCACAATCTAATTTTGTTGAGACTTCCAAATAAAGGTCCAATCGAGACAATCCGCTCGGTATTTATACACTCCAAATTAAACTTGACTAAATACAGTTCTTGATATCAACAATAAAAAAACTCAAACCGTTACATTAAAATTACAGTAAATTATTTAAAATGAAACACGGTTTGACAGTTATAGCCAAAATTCTACTTAATTTAATCTACTTTTGAAATATTTATTTGAGTAACTTCAATACAATCAGTAAGAATTTTTCCTATCTAACTGATAAATTATTAATAGATAATAAAAACTGCGCAAATGATCATGTATATGTAATATGTTTGTATACCAATCCTATTTATTTTAATTTTCGAATTTTGTTGCTGCTCTTCACTGTCAGTAAATCATTTTTATCTGGTTGCTTTAACTATAGCCTATCAAAATATATACTATCTTTTTAAATTCTTTTTAAAAAATTAATCATTCAAAGGGCACAATGTGCTGGTCTTGGGAATTTACGTCATAATACACTTATGGTGTCATATCCTGAAGATTGGAGAGTCGACTGTAAAAGTAGCGGAAGTAAATTGTCTAAATTTATATGTAAGTTTTGCAGTTTGAGTATATCTATTTCATATTTATCAACATATTCTAGTTCTATGTTATAATTCAGAGAATAAAATGCTCATACACCTCATAAACGTAACAACATTTATGAAGAATAGTGTCCTATCCGACAGAAATGAAAAACTTGTTATTGATTAAACTGAGGGTGACATTGTAAACCATGGAATATTGAATTAATGGTTGTATCTTGCTCACCGGATGATCTTAGTGACATCGCTTGCATGATCTAGGATATACACTTTTGAGAATACTCATTTTAGCACAATGTAGCCATCAAATAAACCTTAATTTTCAATTTTTACTTGAGCTTCTGTCCTCCTATGACGGATATTTCCTGATTAAATTCATCAAGTCTCTACAAACCTCCCAATCAAACAATTATTGACTAGGTGTACATTATTTTTTAACTGTTCTTTCTGCACGTCGAGATAAACTATAAAATAACGATTTTATTATTTTAGATAGATAACCATAGTAACTGATTCTCTAGTCTATTTTATCAAATTGACAGTGTAGTGTAACGTTTTAAATCTGATAACTACATTTTACTTATACTAGTAATTATGATTATGCTGACCAATCATCACTTGCTCTATGCTATCATCATTGTACATTTATAGTATTTATTTATGACCTAGCTTAAAATTTAGTGATATACTTAATATATTATATAGAGACTGTTGAACATTGTATCGGAAAAATAAAATTAGTTTATTTAACTCGAGTATGAAAAATCAAACTAAACAAGGAAGATGAAATTTATTTTGAAGTATATTACAATGATAGGAGTTGCACCACATTATAATCACACCAGAAATCCATCCTCGGATGTTTAAGCGATTGAAATGTTGAAACACTTACAAAAGGTCTATCTTGAAATGGGCTTGTCATTTCGCTAATTTTGTTTATCTCTATTGTCTACTTCACTATTGTTCTTATTTCATCATTTTTTCTAAATTTTACAGCAACATTGAGAGCTGCACAAGCATGTGATATAGCAATGCTAGTGCCTAAAGGAATAGATTCGTTTCCTTTGAGCAAAGGAAATCAAATGATTGGAAATGTTGATGTTTGGTGTATCGTACATGATGGTGGTCTGCTATTGTTAACATCATATTTGCTAATGCGTAATCGTGTATGGCGTAAATGTCATTTACGCATTTTTGTGGTGGCTACTGAGGAGGACGATATTGTGAATCTGAAGAAGGATATGACCAAGTTCTTGTACGATTTGAGAATTAACGCTTCTGTGGAAGTCGTAGCAATGGTAAGTTAACTTATACACGATATTTTATAATGATAGTTATACATAAATTATACTGGGGTAACATGGTGGTTGGAGGTGGTCAACAGGAAACCCTGGACCCGGGTTTCGTGCTACTCGGCACTCGTCAGCAAGGTGCACCTGTAATCTTGAGGGAACTGATGCTCCCTGGCGGATTCGATCCCGCGTCACTCAGCTTCACAGTCAGAGACGTTACCACTGAGCTATTCGGGCCGCGACCAACCTCCTGTAGGACTGAGATCTAATCACAGTTGATTGATCACTGGGTGGTGATCAATCTCATGCGTGTCAGGTCCTTAGTGCTGATCGAATGCTATCGATCAAGTTGCAATGTGGCCACCATTCTAGGTGGCTCGACACTGCGGGCACTATATATATTAGGGTAACATGGTGGTTGGAGGTGGTCAACAGGAAACCCTGGACCCGGGTTTCGTGCTCAGTGGTAACGTCTCTGACTGTGAAGCTGAGTGACGCGGGATCGAATCCGCCAGGGAGCATCAGTTCCCTCAAGATTACAGGTACACCTTGCTGACGAGTGCCAAGTAGCACGAAACCCGTGTCCAGGGTTTCCTGTTGACCACCTCCAACCACCATGTTACCCTAATATATATAGTGCCCGCAGTGTCGAGCCACCTAGACTGGTGGCCACATTGCAACTTGATCGATAGCATTCGATCAGCACTAAGGACCTGACACACATGAGATTGATCACCACCCAGTGATCAATCAATTGTGATAAATTATACTGATTTTCCGCAGCTTTGAATGTAGTTCTGGAGTTCCAAATCATTCAATACGTATAATAAGAAATTCAAATCACCTTGAGTTTTTGTTTTTTATTGCCTGGTACATATTTTAAGAAAGTTAGAAAGTTCCGCAAAAACAAAGTAACTATTCACTGGTGATAAATTTTTTTAAATTTCATTCTCCAGTTGATACTGTTATAAACACTTAACTTTTTAACACTAAAACAGAAAATACATTTCAAAATTCCGTGTTTCATTACTTCTCATCTTAACGATATTATAAACCTAGTTAGATAACTCTCCATCGAATTTCTTTGTGACATGTTATCAAACTAAATGTCGCAAAAGCAATTTCACATTCGAGCATGTGTACCATTGCGGAAATATTTGACACTACTAACAAATTACTAAGTAACATGAGAACGTGAACACAATTTTTCGGGACACTCTGTGGCTTCTTATCGTTTAGTGATTAAAGATACTTTATGGAGAACCAAGTGAAAATGAGACAACAAATGGGTTTAAAAAAGCATGATGGCTCCATCAAACAGTCTTCAGGGTAGTAAATAATAAAGGAACTCGAGATTCGCTAGCTGCTACCTGATGAACACCATTTTCTTTTGAAAGAGAATTACAAAGGATAGGAATATGGGAGATGAAAAAATACACTTTTTCAATTCCCGTTAACATTGGTAATAAATGTATTTGAATGTGCTAACACAAACTAAATAAAAAATACCTCAGATTTTTACTAGTTATAAATAAATATATTTGCACAGAATTTCCCTGATAACGACTTATTGTATTTGAGATACATAGTATATTCTTTCACTTTCAGCTTTCTTTTTCATAATACATCACATTTTTCAGTTTTGTTTATAGAGGCAATTTATTTGTTCTAATTATTTAGAGTACCGCTGATATATCAGCTTATGTCGCTCAACGAACAGCTAGTATTGAACAGCGTCGTGCACTTTTGATGCAAATGAAAATATCCACTGTTGAAGCACGTTGTGATCCTCAACTTATTGTTGACCAACATCGTAAACCTAGTTCAGCTGATATTAATCCAGCAGATATTGTCAAATCGAATTGTTCTATTGATTCTCATAAACTTTTACCGGCTATATCAGCTACATCAACTGAAAGTTCAGATCAGTCACCGGATCATGCAACAGTAAGTAATCTTGTTCTAATATTATTATTATTTATTTTTCATGTCCTTGAACACACCTCTATAGTTTAATTCAAATAACTGTACTTCTGAGATAACAAAATGGTCATAATTTATAACTGTTGATCACAATTTGAAATTAATGAACATGTAAGTTAATTAACTCACTATATATATATATATGAATGTGATCAAATCATATACCATAAGGTATTTGTGAAATGGAATTGTGTATTAGATGCCATGTATTTCTAATCTTCTGATAATCCAAGTGTATATATGAGTGGGTTATGTTTATAATTCAATTCAAATTTTAGTTCCAGTGATTTTCGTCGATTAACAATCTACACAGTAATAATATCCTAAATATTAATCGACTCATTCATGTAAACTCATATTAGTTGTTAGAGGTAAATACCATAAAAATTATGCATGAATTACATTTGTAGTAGTAACATATCATTATCCTTTTAACCTAAAATTATACAATAGTACTTTAAACTGTCTATTTAAGATTCAGGGACATAGAGGTGGTGCTCTAAAAATATTGGTCAGCATTACCTGTTGCATGTTCCTATCATTCAATACTGAGACCTATGTTTAGAACATGTACAGTTCACGTCAGCATACGCTTTAGCAAATATCAGTCACTTTTTATATAAATGTTAAATGGTTAGGTTTCGATATCATTAATATAAACATTCAAGTGAATAGAAATATCGATTTAATTAATTTATTTTCTCTATGGGCACAGATCATTCTACAAGTATGCACCTACAAGCTACTGTTATACTATTTGCCATTCTTAACTTATTCCCAATTTATTAGTTACAGTATCTCAAACTCACAGCCACATTTGGCTCAATCTTGTATAATTATTTTTTGCATTTTATGACGCGATGAGGTCTGTTCTGCTTATATATAAACTGCGTATGTCTGTAATATACGATTCATACAGCGGAGGTTGATATTGTGTTCTGGACTAAAGGGGTTAGGCTAGGCGAGAAGTTGCTATACAGAGGACCAATTAGGACTCAAAGTTGACTATATGCCGTTCGTGCTGGTTAACGCATCATTGACTTAGCACAGGGATGAGGTGTTCTTATTGGCGACTTTGTCACGTGATATTTAACGGGCCATAGGGCATAACAAACTCATATTATGTAATCTGAGCTCCCGTGCATTCGGGAAACTCTTTATTTTGTTAGCATTATTGTTTGATGTGAAATTCTGAACATCGAAAGTTCCCCAGATAACTTCTAAATAGAAAATTATTGTTTAGAAGTTCAGCACTTGAAAGATCGGATTATTTATAGAAATAGGATCAAATCTACCTAAATAAATAATTGTTTTTCTCATTTTCCATTAACACTTCAAATAGAATAGAATATTTGTCATATTGATGAGAATTAAGTCAGTATTAGTACGGGGAAATGTACACTGGGACTGTAATGATAGTAATAACAGTAATAATAAAAACAACAATAATAAACAAGATTTTAGCTAATTCAGCGATAAAAAAGAACTAAGATAATTTGAAAATTTACGAAAACTAGACCAACTTATAATGAACATGTTTCGTTTTCGTAAGTTCACTTCTACAGCGTTTAAAAGATGAATATGAATTTCTACGGACACATTTTCTAGTATATAGTATATCATTAGATAATAAATGTTTCATATTGTTTGTTATTATGATTATTATTACAAATAAGTATTTTACAACTAACGTATTTTAGAATGTAACAAACACCAGTAGTAGCGATTCTGCTTCCAAAGAAGATACCAAACCATCAAATTTGAAACCAGATACTGAATCGAATGATAAACCTATTTCAAATCATTCACATCATTGTACTGTATCATTTGCAACTGGTTCAAATGTTGCAGTTAGTGAGTCTGATAAATCTACTAATCCCAAAGAAAATGATGCAAATTCAGAATTGAATCGTGGTATTAATGAATTTACTTTTTCACCTTCAAATCCATTGACTAAGTTAGTTCAAAAAGCTGCAAGAGAAGCAGGTTCTAAAGAAGAGCATTTATTGAATAAAGCCCATCCAGGAAGAATGTAAGTTTTTATATTACTATGTAAATCATATTGTATTAAACATCTTGACAAAATTACTTTTTCTTAACTAAAATTCACAATAATAAATATATGTTCGTTACATCCCAATGAGTGGAAAATTATATTTCTGAAGTTTCGTAACTCAATGTAAGCCACTCCATTTTTTTTATTTACTCTGTACTTACTTATTATTAACTTTCTGTTCAATGCTCAATTTATTTGAAATTATCAAGTCCAACCTTGGTATTGATACCTAAAATTTACAATAATATTCAACTGTTTTATATTATACGATCCATAGTTCATTGAGACGAATTGTGTATAAATTATTTGATAAACTGATATTTCCATCTACTCTAAAAAGAGATTAAAACTTCAAAAAAAAGTACGATTTCTCTGAATTGATGAACATTAAAATTATCAGTGTATGGACTGTTGATCGTAATAATTGTTAGTACTGACTAAAACAAAATTCAGTTCCGTTACTGTTTTATTTATGAACATATGTAAGAAAAATAATTGTATAAAATAAAGATAATCCTGTTTTCGTAGTAGTTATCGCTACACATTGCGAAAGATTGTAAGCTTCGGATAATGTAATACACAGAATAGTTAAAAATAGTTACGGAAGAACAACATAAATTCTAGAGTTGTATATTTCCATTTACTGTTAGTTCTAAATTACTGACATGTAACTACCATTACTTCAGCAATGTATTAAAGCAGCATCAGTGTGTATGTACAAATTGACCAGGTTTTGTCACTGCATTCGAAGTATCAGTAGTGTTATGTTTTATGGGTCAAATAGTTTGATTGAAGATCGCCTACATGATGAAGGTGCTAATGATATTGCCCAAAATGACAATGAACCCTTTATAATTGAACCGTCTAGTACAAAGAACACAATATCATCAAAGCACCCATGTGACCTGCAAATACTCTCTATAATTTCAACAATTAAAATATTTTAACAACTAACTGAATTACTAGAAACGGATATGGACCCAATACCTATACACAACTAGTGTTGATTATTGAGAACCGCGAAATACAACTTTAAACGACAATCCTACAAATGAACTTCGCTATCTTTTCCCACACAGGGAAATTATTTTATTAAATAGTCATTATTCGCCTTTTCTATTTTGTAGTTTCGTTTTCCATTCGGAACTGTTAAGTAAATTTTTGGGTCCACTATTCTTCACAAACCGATTTCTTACAGTTTTGTCAGCTTGCACATAATTCAATACATTTTACAATCATTTATCTGTAATACTGTAAAAAAATTTACATTAACATTAGTTTCGCTTCGGCCTTGTTTAAATAAATAAATCCCGCTAGATTATTGTAAACTGTTTAACTTTATGCTCTTTATAATCTTTCTTTATCCCAGAACTAGAACTCAACGTCGCTTACACTGTGCTGTACGTTTAAATGAATTGTTACGCACTCACTCCAGTGAATCAGACTTAGTCATTGTGAATATGCCTGGACCATCACGTACTCTAGGAAGTGAATATTATTACATGGATTATATTGAAACATTAACTGACGGCTTACCACGTATTTTATTAGTACGTGGAACAGGACGTGAAGTGATTACTGCATTTTCTGAATAAATATTAATAATTCCAAATTTTCTGTGTTTGTATGCTGATTATCCTCTTGTTAATGATATGAAGCACATTTTCGTGAAACAAAAAACATAATCTAGTTGTAAAACATGTCAAGTATTTGCTTCGCTCACAATTATATCATTCTGTTTATTCTCATAAATTTTATCCTTAAAACTCAAACTGCTGTTCCTTTCAAAACTGTCATAGTTTGTTATATTGTTCAGTGTTTATTTTGATTAGTTCTACTATTCATTTTAATTTTAGTTACATATATAATTATTCATTTATTCGACTGACTGATCAATTTCCTGAAATATCTTTAATTTGCAGATCATCCTTTTCCTGTATTCAAACAGATACTGTAAGTGTATTCTCGTGAGATGTTTAGGTTTTCATGCTGAATCTAATCTCACATTCATACTGCTGAAACTTATTATTGTCCATAATTCAAGTGTAATACTGATAAAGAAAAATGAGATGAAAACTTAAAGATTAAGCTTTGTTACCTTTTATCCTAAATAACAATAATAATACTAATGGTGACAATTAAGTCAACATTACTTCTAATTCTCAGTTTGACCTGTTTATGATTGTGCATTGTTTCATTGTGCTTAGATTCTACATTGAAATAACATTGACATTGAAATAACCAACTGTTTCTCTTATGTTCTGTCGTTTTCTTTAAATAATCTGTTCAGTTACCACCCTTCACTTTGTATCCCCTTTGTATCAACTAATCGTTATGGAATTAGTTTAATAGCTTCTTTGCAAGAGAAACCACATGTTGGGAGACTAAAGATGGCAGCTGTGTTTCGTTAGTTTTATTTTTCACAGCTTATCTTTCCTCGATCGCGCCTTTTCTTTCTCTTTTGGTATATTTAGTCAAATTGTTACAAATATTATTCAACGTCTTCTGTAGATTCATTGTATTATCTTGTAACAGATACAAAACCAACTAACGTGTATCGTAATTAAAACCTATGGTGAAAACAGAACTCTTCACATCTAATATCAATAATTCTTGATAATCCTACCTCACGTTTCTTTAGTTGTGCACAGTTTCAATCAGTTAAACATGAACCACAAACCTCTTAAAATCAGTTGAATTTTGTTGTCTTCTGTAATGATACTCTTCATAATGAATGTTTGTATTATTCCGTAATAGTACAATATGCATAGAATGTAGTACTATATATATATTAGTCGCTTGTTTAGTTCACTAATATAAACCTGTAGAATATTTGAAGAGTTAACAATTTAGTAAATTGCTATCCTTAACTTTATAATTAAGAATAAATGTATGTGTGTATACAGTCTCATATCTTATTTTCCTTCTACTACTTGTTATTTATTCACACATACGCGACATCAGTATACTTCTTTCTCAGTAAAGTAAAACCATTTTGTTTTATTACAATATAGTTTTTATCCTTTTAAAATTAATCCTTTTGTACTGTATTCAGTTTTTTGCTATAGTTTCAATGTATTACTCAAAACGTTTGTTAACACTATAAATTGTTATTCGAATTTTGAAGTAAACGCTCTTCATATGACTCATACGTTAAATATAAATATTTACCAATTTACAATGAACTTTAAACAGAGTACAATTTTTTAGAAAAATTAGCACAAAAATATAATCAAGCGTAGTTATTTAAACTTTAGCAGAATCCTTATGGTATCTCATTATCGTTAGAAAGTTTTCTATTATATGCAAATCAACGTTTTAAATTATTGAGAAAATTGCTTGTTTTATTATGTCTTTTTCTATTTGTCTGTCAATTATTTCCTACGTTGATTACTGTGACAAGTATATTTCGAATTTCAACTGTTAAAGCAGTTAGAATAAGCTGTTGAACAATTCAGCTGAAGTTATTGCAAGGTACACTAACTCGCAGTGTAGATTCGACTCATCACGATTTACTAGCTGTTCTAATCAAAGAACTCAACAGCCTTTTAGTAGCTGCTCTTGTCAGTGATAACCACTATTCTGACTAAATGTTTGTCTAGTGAATTATTTGCTGTATGCTTGTAGATGAACAAATGTTAGGAATGAGAATCCGAATAACTGAGATTTTGTCAGTCAAATCTTTTCGCTTTGAAAAATTTAGAAATAAAACTGTGCTTAAACTCACACAAGCTTCATTCCACAACTGTAAGAGTAATCGATCTTCTGACAATCGATTTATAGTAGATAAGCAGTAAGAACAATGTTAGATAAAGATGCTTGCTAGACGAAATTTCCAAAATATCCTAAACAAATCTAATCTCCACCACCTGTCGTACCAGAATTTCCCTCTATTACTAGTCTGAAAACTTGCCAAATTTAGAAGCTACAGTGAAGTGAATGTTAATGTTGACAAGTGTTTTGCTAGGTACGATTATAAACTAACAAGCATTTATCCAAGATTCCCAATCATTCAAAACTTGTCATCTAACTGCTTATTAATACCAAAACTCACAAGTCGTCTAAGACAAGAGTAGCACGAAGTATTTTTCCCCGAAACTAAATTGGGATCTGAACAGCATTCTGATAGATTACACTGTACGCGTGAACCTAGCTCAAACAACATAATAAATACTCCCAGCATAAAAATTGAGACATTATTGAAAGATATCCTCATGAAAGCACAGTAGTTTAATAACCTTTTAGTTCAGATGATTAACTAAATACTCCAGGGACCAGCGCTGTAAGTCAGTATGCAGACAGGGATAAGGGATATCTGCAACACGATCAGATTTCACGCGCGAAGAATTTATAAAGCACCACATATCCGTCCATTATATGGAGATTTATGCATGGAAACAACCATTTGGATAGCTAAATTATGAATTACACACCATCTGCTCCATACTTAAATGCATAAAGACAGTACAGTAATAAGGAATCCGAATGCTATTTGTTTTTATTATCAAAATCGCAAGTAGGCAGGCTCACCACCGAAGATCCTAACACTATACTACCTGGTTAAAGAACAGTTAAACTTAACTAGTTTTGTGCTTGCCCATTAACTGAATACAAGACATCAGGTGGACTTGAACGCCTTTCCAATCATCCACCACATTTTATTAATTTCGCCACATGGCTTGTGTATACTTGAAGTCCCTTTTCTCAATTAACTTATGAACTTCATGTCAAATACTGAAAATTGAAACAGAATACACGCAAATAAAGTGAAATCATATCAGTCTAATTGTGTAAAATTGATTATACAAAGAGTATATGTTCATTTTACATAATTTGGGATGAAAAGTTACCAATTTTTGAAGTTTGGAAATAAATGTACACGAATGAAGGAATACGCAACAGGATAATATTCTTCACTAAATGAGGCATCTGTATAAAATCCAACAGGTGAATCAGCTAAGGCTGAAGAAAAGCAACAAACGATAACAAAAATAATAATATAAATATACACTAATGCACACAAATAAGCAAAATGCTAATACGTAAAGTCGACTATTATTTCTGCCTGTGCACAATTACAATTCAGTAGCTGGATAAGCATATTGAGTATTGTTCTTCTCCGTTTACATTTTTAATTTATGCGATAAAGACTCCATATAATACATTAAAATTATATGACTCGAAAAAATTAGTTTAGGAAATTAATTAGTGCTAATCAAAAACTGACCATATTCTACAAATTTACTTTCCTAATTAACAGTAAACTAATATGAGGAAAACAACATAAAAGCTTTATAATGTAATCATCTTTTCTCACGTGTCATCTAATTCGAAAAAAAAGCAATATCAGTATTAACTGGATACACTTTAGGTATAATTTGCACCACTTACCTAATGGATGTTTATATACTTAACTTTTAAGTAAACTATTTCTGTAGGGGTTAATGATAATACCGTCTTCAATCAAAAAAGACGTAACTCAGATTTGAGTTCAACGAGATAAAACACAAATCTTGTTTACACTATTGATTCGAACCCAGGACCTATCAGTCTCGCACGCGAACGCCTAACCTTTAGAGCACTGAGCCGGCATTCAATGGTGTTAATATCTAACTTGAACCAATCCACGAAAATGTGCCACCGTCCACCACTGTCTCTAGTGAGTTACCATTTTACAACAGACCCGGTTGAACTCCACTGGTCACGGCTTCTCACTGGAACTCCAGGAAGTACCTCCTGAAAACCGTTACTAGTGAGCATATGATTATAATCAGAGAGGGGTTTTGTGGATGCTATAGTAATTTAATGGTTGAATTCATGAGCCAATTTTACATTTGTAACAAATAGCTCTTTCGTATAGTGATTAATAAAAAATCTGTACAAAAATTATCCACCTTTCGACCAAGGCGTCGTGCATTGAATCCGCGACAAGGACGTTCATTTCACCATCTAATTTAAATATTGATTCAATCACCTATAAAAACATGGATAGAGAATAAAAGTAAGTCACAATTCATATGAGTTGACGAAACAATATAAATCACAATTATTTAACGACTGTCAATAAGTAGCTTTTACGTTAGCTGCAATACAATGAATATCGCATTGTTAACGTAAAAAGTTTTCGAAGTTAAAACGGATAAGCATACCTGAATTTCTGTGCTTGTCGTTTTCTGACCACAAAAGCCCGCCCAATCGTTGACCACAAGTCCAGCTGCAATAAGTGTACTTCCTTGGTTTACAGTCCCAGCAGTTAGTGGAAGATGAAGAAGACTACTCAACTGATCTAATTCGTCAACTGTAACTTTAGGATGAACAAGTCCACCTTGGTTTGTCAGCACGCAATATGTTCCGACGAGAAGATGATTTGCAATGACTTCACAAAAAACCTCAACATTCAACACGTCGCTGACCAATTCCACAGTTTCCTAAATATTACAGGAATAAGTCTTAGTTCATGTACAGAATATTATAGACAATAAATTGATGGTCTGAATAAAAAATGGCAGCTGATAATAATTCGTGCTTCTGCTAACCATTGACTTAACTACAGTATTAATTGCTGTTAACTTATTAGTAAGTTTCACGTAGATTTTCAATAAATCAAGTGACAACAAGCCATTGCTTCTATAACTCTACTTATATAAAAACAGATTTATCATCGAGCTTTGCAATATCCATGTGTTATAGAACACACTGTTTCTATTGAGTACTTACCGGGAGATTGCTTACTACTTTACTTAACCCTAAATTCCACTCGAAATAAAATAAGAATCTTATATAACTTCATATGATAAACTCCTGTTCACCAAACAAGTAAAAGGCAGCTATTTCGCACCAGATGTCAAAAAATAACCATTTCATATGAAGACTGAGCTTTACTTGAAGGTTAACTACGATATTTCGCTTACGGATTTAGTCAGAAAGACGAACATGGACAATCATTGGAAACCGTATGGCCATTTTGACTACTGTAATGCTCATCATCGTTTTGAGATGATATCGACAACAGAGCATTTAGGTTAAGTAGTACCATGATGCTTTACGATCACTAAATTTTAGTAAACTGCGACCTATATAGTTGACAAGGTTGGGAGAAATAGTAATCCGTCAACAATACTGAGTGAATAGTCATATATGACGAATAAGCTGAAGCTGAGAATGTGGATCGTTAGACTTGAACGCAGTAACCTGCGGGTAACGTATACGCTGCTGGTTTTCATGATGTGATGGATTCATGAGTAAATATTGCTAAAAAATGTCTCCGCTTACACCTCTCTGATTCTCATTAGTTACCTAAAGATCAGTTTCTTGAAAAAAGTTAACCTGAAATCATTTCTGCATAAAGTAGTAAATAATTGCGACTCGTTTAATAAAAATAGTTACAGTAGTCGTCTGATTCATCATTAAACTATCAACTGGTAGGTTGATAGCTTCGACCCCACTTCAACTAACAAGTTGTAGATAGCAAAGATGTATTCTCGGCCTGTATACTAATGTAGCCGAATTTTTGAATAAAATTATTATGGATGAAGTAAGTGACAGTTCAAACAGTTGTCTGACTAGACAAAACACAGTTATTTGGTTGGGGAGAGCAAGTTTTGTTTTAGTTGACACTAATTATCAAGACATCTCCAGTCTTAATGTAATTAATGCTTTCCATGAGATTTAAACCCGCACAATCTTTTTGCACCCAAAAAGATCATCAATGAGCTATTTATGTAGTGACTTATCTGTTGAAATAAGATTTTACATCAGGTCCCACGTGATGCCACACAGTATAGACTCAAATGACCATCGATTAAGTTGAAACATACCAAAGACCGCCAGTGGATTGACAAAAAAGAGTATATTTGATGTTAGGTGGATGGAGAGAGCCGATAAAAAGCACTGGACCTGGTTTTGTGTTAGTTTGCATACATTTACAAGGCGCAGTTTTAACTATAGAGGAACTCTCAATTAGAACCTGTTACACTAATACATGTTATTAGTAACTGATAATGCGAAATTGGATTCTGACAGATACGGACTACTAAGTGTACACATGAATGTCCTTCGTAGCAATGTTATTTCTGTATTTTGAGCTGTAAAATCTGGAAGCAATGATGTAAATGAAATATAAACCAACAGATTAATTTGTTGTAATTTGTACTAATGGTTTTCAGAAATGAAATCGA